ATAGTTATTACATGTTTTGGGTAATTATTTCAGCAATGTGTAAAATATGCATTATAGAATAAAATAAACATCATGTAGAAAAAGCCTTTTATTTACTCTTTAATTTACATATGGGTTTATATTCTCTATCTTACACAGGTCTCGAGTTATTGGCGTTTGAAGAAGTTACACACCAGCGTTACCTTACGTCTTACAGTTTCCGTCGAGTGTACCGCGATTTTATAAAAGTTACTCAACGTTAAAACATTAATTACTAATAGTATAAATGTGTATATATTTATTTATTTATCTATCTTACCCCTTCTCTCCTCCACTGCTCACCTTTGACCAACTTTTTGTTATCAATCTAACTATATAAATTCTCTGATCAAGTACCTTATATGTTTTGCATATTTTCTCGTGATTTTATCGAATTTACTGTTTTAATTTGAACTATTATTACGAAGATATATATATTCCGTAGCAAGTGACCTTTATGTATTAATGTCCTCTACACTTATGTAATTATTTTTTGATAATATCTTTGTTGTTACCATTCTGTATACATTATTGCTTTCCTATGTTCTTATCTTGTGCTGTATCTGTAATTGGCCTTCTGGCTTTCGATACAGTACAATAATAACAAAGAATTTAATCGGACTGAAATTAAACATCGTCATTGTTGATGTTAGTATTGTTATTATATTGACGTAGCCATTGTTTAAATATTCTTACTCTTTTTGTTGCATATTCACCGACTCGCCCCACTTTTCATTTGACGACTTGATCTCACGATGGCTACGTATTGAAGCCACTTCTCCAGTTTTACTGTTTCTCGTCCCACTTCACAAATTTGTACGAAGTGAAAATGATATTGACCATGTGGGTACTTAATACATGTGTAGAATGATATATTGTTTTGTGTAATGCTGATCATCACCTTCTTCTCTTCACGGATTAGGCTGTTCCTGTATGTTTATATGTATTTGCTTCTACCGGTAAACAGACGTTCAGATGTTGACACCATCTAACTTTATTTGCATTTATTTTGTGCATTAATGCGGATATATTCATTTCCTGTCGTATGACCTCATTTCTATGCTGTCCATTTCTTTGGCGCTTCTTAGAAATAGCTGATGTCTATTTCAATCAGGGGACGGGCGGACAAACGAATAAAGTCTTCTTTGGTGCCTTTATAAAAGTAAACTGTCAGTTCCATTGCACATCGCCGGCAGAAGAGAGCGGATTTAACTCTGGAAATGTGCATTTGATTGCATCGTGTCGTTACGTACTTTTTTAACTATCGAGTTCAAATGTCAGTAACATTCTACGCCGGAGTTTCACGCCATCTGTAGGTACAAGTTTGTAAGGGAAAGCCCTAACTCTGGTTTCGCCACTAGATGGGAGGGCATGTTTCATTTATCACTCTACTGGTTTTTAACTACAGTGATTGTTGCTTGTTTACGAGTTCTCTGTAAATAATTCCTCCATTATTTTCCAATTAAAATAGTTGTATCTTACGTTTAAAAATTAACAAATTAAATGCTCTCAGAAATGCTCGTTCATCTGTTTCTCCAGACAGTAGTGTCATGTAATTTTCCATCATTCATAACTGCCATTTTCTTTAGTACATTAATGGACCTACACGTAAAATTACATAAGAAAGTAGAGAGCAAAGGTTTTAACTGGATTCTTGACCAGTTCCCAAGCTGTCAGCTTCTCAAGGACTCGGCTCCATAATGATGTTATTTAGTTGGTTAGTCATATTTATCATTCGTCTTCTAGATGACATCCAGTGATGTATGACGTTTAATGAGAATAGGCCGGTTAGTTAATTAGTCTCCATGCGTTGATAACCTTTTTTCATAAAGCATAGTTTCCCAACTCCCCAGTTCTGTGTACCTGCAGTGACAGCTGAGCGGAATCAGTAATGCCAACCCTGGAAACACTGCGCTTTGTTTTGTTAACCATAAAGCATAGTTTCCCAACTCCCCAGCTCTGTGTACCTGCAGTGACAGCTGAGCAGAAGCAGTAATGCCAACCCTGGAAACACTGCGCTTTGTATCGCCCATTCGTTTGGTTGTAGCTTCTTTGTGCGAGCATTCCAACTTGCCATTTATCTCTGTTTGGTGGTTACAGTTTTGTGATAGAACTACTGTGAGTTCTAACCCTCAAATTCCAAACATTACTACAAGTTTCTTTCTGTATATTTCTTCTACTCTCTCCCTATTCGTCGTATTTCCGTTTCCGGAGCAGACATGAGGGCGCCATAACAAAACACATGCGAGCTTCAACTCTTCGTTGCAGTTATGGCCCTACGAGCACACGAAATTCATTACACCAACGTCTTTTGGTGCGGAACAACTAATTGGTATACAACACACAAACAATAAATAAATAAATACGTCAATGCATAACATATTTTGTATAATTAAGTAGCGTTATTTTATCTATAAAAAGTTTTTTTTGGATCTTGTCCGTTTTCTAAATTACGAATAGAATTTAAAATGCGACGTTTCGGAACCTGTCACTCAGTCACATCCACATGACGTGGCATGTGGCCTGGAGTGGTCCAGAGTGGACTCGTCCGTCTCCCCCTGTGTTTTTCAGTCTTTATGTAAACGACATACCTACACCCTCCCGCCTCGTCGAGCTAACGCAGTACGTTGAAGACAAGGCTCTCGTAGCCACGTTCCGTAGTTCATCTCCCACCAGAAATAAAATCCCTTAGTTTGAATATTAACGGTCTTCTGCTACTTCTATATTTCCTTTATCGTAAGCATGTCGTCTTTTTAGTTTTAAGACACTTCTTACCGATTCTATCATTTCTTTTCGTAAGCAGAAATGGTGTAACCTAGCAAGTGACGATGTCTAGTTCTTTGTCATTGTACAGATTTGAAGACCTGTAACTCGGACGGGAAGCATTTTCAGACCTATGTTCTACACGACCTTCTTTCATCCTTAGAGTTAGTAGAACACATTACCAAAGTTTGGCCACACATTTCAGGACCAGTCTGTACATTAAGCAGTCAGATTGTAGGCCTGATGTAATCATCTTAATTTAAAATAGGCCTAATAATGCATGCACTTACATAGTAATGAAATGTTACTAGTTAAATTATTTTGTTACTGATTCATATTCTGTGTCGTCTCTGTCTTAAGTGAGAGAAAAAAAAGGATTTCTGTGAACGCTTTTGAGATAAAAACAATGTTTCCGTTCGGTTTTTTTCTCTTTTAGGTTCAGTTACAATTTAGATCTCGTAAAGAGACTAAATCCTTCTTGGCAGGTCATTAGGTGACTCAAATAAGAAAAGTTTCTAATGACGTAAAAGTGCAGCTGATGGATAAATCCTACTTGTTCCGTCTGTCTGTCTGTCTGTCTACCTGCCTCATCTGCATGGGATTAACATGTCTCCGAAAACTTAACAAAGAGGAATGAAAATAAGGGTTTTTAGATGATGAAAGAAATAGAATTAAATTATTGGATTTAAGAGAGATTAAGATATCTTTGGGGTCTATAAATGTTTAATTCAATTTGAGTAATTTCTTGTCGTCCTTATTTCGGAGGGCGCTTAGCGTTAGCATTTTATTTACTGTAATTTTGGCTTCTGTGAAACGACGCCAATTGCGTATTAATTACGCCGAGTCTTTAATTATTCT